CCTTTCCTTTCCATTTTTCTTTTTCTTTTTCTTTTTCTTTTTTTCCTTTCTTGTACTTTTAGCTTTCTCTTTCATTTCTTTCATTTTCTTTTTTATATTAGTTTTTCTTACTTTATATTAGTTTTTAATCTTCTTTTTAAAACATCTTTAATAAAATTATATACATAAAAAAAGAAAAGTAACTTTATGACCAGTCCTTGCATTTATGATCATCGTCATGTGATTGAGAGTCAGGTGCTTCACAACTAGCAGGTGTTTACAATCATCACAGCATCTCACAGTCACGTGATCACCATTTGCAACTGGCTTCCAAGAAGCAGAGTCAATGGAGAAGCTGGCAGTGAAATCACAAGTCACAGTTACATGATGTTTCGCTTAACAATCCACAGTGACTCTCTTAATGACTGAGTGGGAAGTGATGTTGTAAGTCCATTGTGGTCATGTAATGTTTTGCTTAGCAAATCCATCATTTAGCCACAGAGTTGCTGGTTCCAATGGTCGCTAAGCAAGGACTACCTGTACACCTTTTCTTAACAAAAGGAAAAAAATGTATCAGAGTCCATATGTTGTTTTTTTACCTCTTTTAATTCACTTTAAGATTTATAAACCATCATAATACACTGTAGCAATATTCATGTGATAAGCAGGCAGCTATTTAGCAATACCACCTTCCTCTAAAATTGGTTATTTGCATACCTAAAGAGATGGACTCCTGACAAAAAAAATCAGAAGGGTTCATTCATATATTGCATCTATCATGCTCACCGAATGGGTCCACAACACAGGATGCACAACACAAAGTCCAGAAAATGTTCATGGCAGCATGATAATTACATGGTAATCACATCTTCATACTGTGATCTTACATATGAAGAGATGAAACAATAAACAGGGTCTGTATAGAATATTTGTAAATAGCTTCATTTTTTTTTCCTGGCAAAGGATTTGAAATTAGAATTTTTATACAGATCTTTTTCTGAATTCTAAATATCTGATCCACATCTCTTAGACTCAGCTTCCCACCGGATTTCACACTTTTTCAAATGTTGCTGTGAGCTTTCAGGATTTAAAACATTCCAAAATACATTTAAAAAGCATATTTTTAGTGAAAACATGTTTGACAAACAATGGTAATACTTAGTAACAACTTAAAGTACCCTTCCCCAAACCAGTGTCCTTCATATGTGTTGGACTTCAGCTATAGTATTATGATTCTCCAGCCAGTACTCGCAAAACAGTAATAAAAACCAAGAGAGACAGTCCCCAAACTCATGAACAATTACAGTCATTATATTTCTGATGAAATTCAGTGCCACCTCAGATTCAGTATTTGTTTGAAATTGCCTAAAATTAAAACAATTAGTCTGAATACCTATTTTTAACACTATTATCTCAAGATCCACAATTTATGAGTGCTGGGTTTATTTCTAATGGACAGACATACATACTCATCTGAATAATATGTACATTTACTTTTTCTACATAGCATATAAATGAGTGTGTGATTAGGTGTCAACTGACTTGACTTTGCCCCAACATTGTCTATCGTATTGTGTAAGTTCACTTTAGTATAGAAACAAAATACAACTCGTAAGGACAAGTCAGTTTGTTTAATTTTTCTTGTTCTAAACTCACTTAATATATTTTGATGATTGCACTATGAATTGATTATTGATTCTAATCTTATCACTTTGTAGTTGGTAGCATTCCACAATTTCAACTAATTTGAGAGAACATAAAACATAAGAATGTAAGAATGGCCTTGGTGGAACAGACCAAGGTTTATTTTGTTTTTCCACCATGGCCAAGAAGGTGAAATTTGGGATTCTTGCAAACAAGAAATGGACATATATCCTTCTCTCTCTGTTCCTTTGCAATTGGTACTTGAAATGATGCTGTCCTAAACTGGAGGTAACACCGAATCTTCAAGCTAATAGGACTTCATAGGCCTATTCTCCATTAATTCATTCGATCTCTTTTTAAAACCAACTGTGTTAGTGGCCACTACCACAGATGGGGTAATGAATTCCACAGATTAATTCTGCCCTGCGTGGAGGAGGTTGGATCATTTCAGAAATTATTTGTAGAATGATGTCAGGATGAGAATGATATATAGGGAGATCATGGGGTAAGAGATCTTTTTATTAGCTTGTTTCAAATATTCATTGTATGCCTACCAGTGATAAATTAGAACAATCTGAGTGAAAATAATAATGTTTCATGAATTCCAATATGAACTGACCTGTTTCCGTTCTTCAGGATATGGAGACTGGAATTGACATTGTCTAGCTTTCATATTCTCTGAATATTCTTTCACAGTTCTCATCTCAAAAAGTTTTTTAAAATAGAGTTTTGAAAGAAAATGCATTTAGGAATGTGTCTTCAAACATTAATTTTTGTTTTTGTTTTAACTGCAGATCAATGTATTAACAGGTTGCGTGCAGAAGATGGCATGGATTAGGGATGTACTCTGTAACCTATGTAAATAGGTTTATTAGAGAGTAAGCTCCAATAAACACAAGAATCTTTAACAGATACTGGAACAAGACAGATACAATAATAAGTTACAAGAATAAGATACAAGAATTTTAAAACTTTTTTATGATGTTGTATTTTAATAATCACTTCTTTATCTTTTATAATTATTGTTTTTATCTATTTGTTATTTTATGTAATTATTTAATTTTATTTGAAGCCCAGAGTCACTTTGTGTGAGATGGGTGGCTATATAAATGTGATATATAAAGAAATAAAAAATACATCAGACTGAGCTATAGTCACACATTCCTACTTTTACATCAATATTTTATTTTCTGCTTGCTGCCTATTTTAATGTTTCATGCTGCTATTAGTTATTGATCTACTAGTTGTTATTTTGTTATTTTATGTGAATATTAATTTGTAAACCATATGATTTTTTTCATATTATTTGCTCAAAGGGGGATTGCAGAATGTCTAATCAGTATCTATATTGTTTATTGTTTAGTGCCTCAATTTTTAAAAATTGCATTTTTCATCTCTTTTATACCCCTTTCGAAATCTGAAATATTTCTCCCAAATAGTTTAAAAAACATTAAGGTAAACAGTATTAAAACAATAATAAATGACATATAGAAATCTAAGTCTTCAAAATTCAGCAAAATTCATCTTAAAAGATCCCAACCTCACAAGACTTTGGAATGATATAAAAATGTTAAAAGAAAAATGCTTAACCCATATGGTTAATGGGCTATAGACAGATCTTTAAAATCAAAACCAGAAGTTGCTAGCAATGAAATGCATGATTCTCATTTCTATTGAAAGCAAAATTGTAGGGAATGCACTCGTGCAGGATCAATCAGTTACTATAATTCAGTTAAACACTGTGGCTTCTCCTGGTGCATTCCTTTGTTAAAAAAAAATACTATTACGAATCTTTTAAAATCACATACCATATACCATGGGGTTGTTTCTGCACAGGTATCTTCTGCACCAATATGGCTTCATCCTATTGCAGCACTTTTCAAATAGTAATAAAACTCGCAGTGACAATCAAGGAATGCTTTGTCTCTTCTGGGCAGAAGGAGGAAAATCACAAAGAAGAGATTGCCTAGAAATCAACAGAGTTAGAAATAGCTGAGGTAGTTTTTATTTTTCAGTAATTATGCCACATATTTTAGAAGTGCCCTGAAGTACTGAAATTGCTCCGAGGAAACCATTTGGCTGGCAGTCCGTATAAAAAATGGGTCTTGCGGCTTCTGATGTTGTACCATATAAATAAGGACACAGGATCTACTCCTACCTCCAATCCAGAGAGAAGGGAATCTTGGGAAAAAATCATGTTTCCCAAGCAACCGTCTGTGCCTCCCCAAGCAGGGCCACCTCACACTTTGAGAACCATTAGCCTATCACAAAGACGCCATTGGTAACACCAGACCACGTGGATGTTGTTTTGTGTTTTGTTTTCTTTTAATTCCTGTTCTTCTTTTGGGCCACCACTGTGGTATGTGTAGCAGGTGGTGGGAAGCCATATATCTGACATGTTTAGTTTCAGGCTAATCTCATTTGATCTTCACAGAAAGAAAGACATTTTATTTACTTTATGTTTTAAAGATGCCTTGGGTGTTCAGTGTTCAGATATGCAAAAGAGAAGCAGTGTGGCCAAAATTGCCAGAAAGGAGAAAAAGAAGGGAAAAAAAAGAACAGAATCGTGTTTTGTTTTTGTCTTTTTTTTTTTAAAAAAAAAGGCTATTATTTTAGTTGCCTAATCAGCTCAACCTTTGTGGGGAATAACCCCAAC